CTGCCTGCCTCTGCTTCCTGAGCACTAGGATTAAAGGCGTGTGCCACCACTGCCCAGTTTAATGTTGGTTTTTAAAATGTTGACTACAAACTCCTTGATGATTAACTTGTGCTCTAGTTCCAAGAGAACCTTACTGATGAACAATATTTTAGAAATATCGAAATTCTCTTTGTTGATCCAACTATAGGAATGATAAGAAAGTAGACACTGACTCTACCTGAGTTACTTCCTGTCTGGAAATTCCTTCATTCTGAAAAACACTCATTGTAGGCCTAGGCATGTGTAGTAACTCATTTGGTAGAGTACTTGCCTAGCATGCACAAGCCCTAGGTTTGATGCCCAGGATCTCATAAGCCAGGTGTGGTGAACACCTATAATCCAAGCACCTGAGAAGCAGAAGCAGGATGATCAGAAATTCAAAGTTATCTTCAGCTACATAGCAAGTTCAGGGCCAGGCTGGGATATGTAAGGCTATGTCTTTAAAAAAAAAAAAAAAAGAAAGAAAAGAAAAGAAAAATAAAAATATTTCATACCTATTATTTCCCTGACATTGCCTCAGGCCCTAGGGATACATTAGTGAACAAGCAGTACAAAAATCGTGCCCTTGGGGGCTAGGGAAATAACAGACCCAAAGCAAATCACTGTGTCACAGGATGACAATACTTTGGCAGAAAGCAAATCCTAGAAGGGGATGAGGACACCGTGCAGAGAGAAGAAAGCTGTCACAGTTCTGATTGGAAACGTCAGAAAAAGGACCCATGAGACGTGATTCCTCAGCAAAGGAGCCCCCTGGTTGATATCTGGGACAAGAGCTGTCCAGGCCAACGGAACAGCAAACACAAAGCCATGTGCCTGCTGTGGCTTCAGAGTTCACCAGAAAAGAGAAGAACCTGCAAACACCTCCGTGGGCTGATTCCAGCAAGGCAGAATCAAGCAGGATTGACTGGGGGTAGACAGGTAATAATGTTAAGGGAATAATGAGGAATCCTTTTACGTAAGCGCGCTCGTGGACCATTGTGGGAATGTTTTACATTCCCCCAGGAAGAGACAGGGCAGTGACACTGGCCAGCTACGATCTTAGTCAGTTCAGGCTACTGTGACAGATTCCTGGGCAGTTTAAATAACAGAACTTTATTTTCCATGGTTCTTGGAGGCTGGAAGGGTGGGCTTGCCTCAGAGATGAAGCTTATGATAAAAGCACACTTCCTGGCTTTCTGTAGGGCATCTTCGTACTGTGTTGTCCCAGAGGGGAATGAAGGAGATCCCTCAGGTCTCCTCTTCTGGGGGCACCAGACCCACTTCTGAGGGTTCCACTCTCATGACCTAATGCCATCATATTGGCCATTAGGATTTCAAGGCATGTGTTCTACAAGCACACAAACGCATGCCAAGCACTTGTGAGGGATAAAAGGACAGAGGGGCAGGAGCAGGATGGGATGAGATGGACAGTGTCTGCTATTTGGAAGCTATAGTTGAAGTCTGCAAATTGTAAAGCAGGGTTACTTCTTTCTTCCTTTTCTTTTTCTGTAAAGATCAGAAAATAAATATTTCACACTTCAGAGACCATCCGGTTGCCTTCACAACAGCTCAGCTCATCACTGCCTTTCAGGTGTCAAGTGTAAGTGAGCAGGGGTAGCCTACATGTTCAGCGAGCAATCCAGAAGATCTATACTGGGCTTATAGATATATACTGCCCCTTAGCCTGTAGCTTGTGAGGTTGTGGGTGGGCAAGTGAAAATCATCAAGACTTAGTGCATAGTAATTTAATTTCTTCACTTGGTAGAATATCAGTCTACAAGGATAAGTCCTCTAGGTTGGTATTATTCATTTGAACACATTGACTTTTTCCCTTGTTTTCTTGTGAACAAAACAGAAAAATGATCTTGGATTCAGAAATAATTCATCGGTAACTGGCTAAACAAGCCTATCCAAAGAGATAATGAATATCACGCAGTTTGAAGAGATAAAATGCTAAGTGGGAGAGTAACTGAGTGGAGAGGGCAATGATAGTCCTGGATGTCTGACTTCAAATCTACTCCCCTTCTGATCTAAAGCACAGCAGTTGATCTAACCAAGCTGTGGTTGCCAAGACCCTGCCTCAGCCAGCTCCCAGCCAGTGGACTTAACAGAAGGGAAACTAAGCCTTTGGTGGCAGCTCCCACCATGGCTACAACTTCTCAGCTTTACCAACTCTCCCTCCTTTTATTAAAAATAGATTCTTTTCTCATAGACTACATCCTGATTACAGTTTCTATTCCCTTTGCTCCTCCCAGTTCCTCCACTTTCCCTCCTCTCTGGATCCACTCCCCTTCTGACCCTCATTAGAGAAGAACAGGCTTCTAGGAGATAATAACCAAACATAACAAAGTACAATAAAATAAAATAAAACAAAAACCATCACATTGAAGTTGGACAAGATGAGACAATAGAGAAATAAAAGAGCCTCGAGAGAACACACAAGAATCAGAGACCCACACATTCACACACTCAGAAGTCCCATGAAAACACTAAGCTGATAGCTACAATATGTACACAGAAGTCATGTGCAGACCCATGTCAGCCCCGTGTTTACTGCTTCAGTCTCTGCGAGTTCACATGAGCCTTGCTCAGTTGATTTAGAGGACCTTGTTCTCCTGGTGTCCCCCATTCCCTTTGACCCTTCCATTCTTTCTACTTCCTCTTCTGTGGGGTCCCATATATATATATATGTGTGTGTGTGTGTGTGTGTGTGTGTGTGTGTGTGTGTGTGTGTTATTATTGTGTGCTCACATGTGACAGCACAGGTGTGCAAACGCCACGGCATGTATATGGTCAGATGACAACCTTCAGGAGTCAGTTTTGTTCTTCCGTTATGGATTCTGAGGATCAAACTCAGGCTGTTGGGCATGCCTGCTGGTCCTTGGCTCTATCTTCTGCTGATGGGATCCACCAACACAGTCCACTTGGTGACTCCAGCCTCTGAATGACAGCAGCTTCCTGCTCTTGCAGTCTCTAGTGGGGTTGTGTTATTCTTCAGATTTTCTGTGGGTTTTGAAACAACTGCCCTACATTAATTTCTTCCTGTTTTGAATGATACGGTGGTTTCTGTTTTTCTGTTTGGATCTTGACTATGCAGGAGTCCCCCTGTGAATGTCACTCTGAACAGAGGGTTAGACACTGGTGTTTACCAGGCCCACACGTCTGCTCTCACCATTTTCATTAATAACCTGGATAACGATGTACCAGATATGTAAGCTAATCACACTTGCAAATGCCCCGGAGCATATTGGAAAAGCTATTTGCTATGTGACAGAATCAGAATCTAAAAATATCTTAATAGACCAAATCTAACAAGAAGGAATTTAATAAGAAAAATGTAAACTCTTTCACTTGGGCCCCCAAATAAGCACAGGATGGGGAGAAACTGGGACATTGTGGTATATTGTGCACTTTCATTTCATGCATGCTTCTTTTGGGGCAAATTTTTCCAAAAATAAAAAAAAAAAAATCCAAAGGATGCACTTGTGGCGTTAAGGACTGTGGCATCAACTGAGACTTTTCTACTCCTTCTGGATCAGCCCACTCGTAGTGCTCATCGTACTGAGGCACAGTTTTTGGAAGTAACAGTATCATTCTTGAGAACAATAATCAAGGGAAGGAAAGCGTGAGCCATTGAAGGAAACTCGAATTTTCTACCCAGTTTCCTCTGTGCCGTCAAGAATTCTACAGATGCACTATTTCCAGAAACAGCATGGCAGCTTCTGCGATTTTTCTTCATTCTACATTCAGCAAGTTATGGTGTACAGGGTTAGGTGAAGACAACGATGTCTCAGCTACCACCTCTGAGGCAGATTTCAAACACAGCCTCTTATTAAAGATGTTAAATCCTGGGGAAAAAAAATGAAAGAAGAAAGAAAAGAAAGGGAGAAAGGAGTGGAGGAGGGAGGGGAAGAAGGGAGGGAGGGAGAAGGAAGGAAGGAAGGAAGGAAGGAAGGAAGGAAGGAAGGAAGGAAGGAAGGGAGGAAGGAAGGTCATGTTGCCCCTGAGAGGGACTCCAGCAGAGGGCTGCCCATCCCATGGTGGTAGAAGGTCACAGAGGACTGGAGAGAAGGAGGGATAATGTGGTATCATTAGATGAAGATGCCAGGGCCGTTGACAACAAGACTGAGGCCCTAACAACAGCACCTGGGTCTAAAGTTGGTGCTGTTCTGGGAGTGAGGAAGGTGTCTTCACTGGACCCTAAGCCATCACGGAGCTGTGTCAGTCGGGGAAAGGAGGAGGGATTTACAGTTTGGAGGCAGTGATGCTGTGTCTTGAAGTGCACACCTCCATTTTTTGCATACCTTTTTATGTATCTAGATTATTTGCTATTGTAGACAATCCTGGCTGCTAAGAACATTCCAAAGACCTGCCTCTCTGCCCCTTCCGGGGACACCTTGCTCAAAGCTCACCTTTCAGTCCGGCCTCTCCTTCCTCTCCTTCCTTCAGTCAATAGGATCTGTTCAGAATCTTTAACTTCTTATTCTATGATGAGAAATGTCCGAAACTTGGTACTGGAATGATAGGTGCACTGAACTACAGTCAACAGAGGTTCAAATCCCATGCTGACTGAGTGACCCCGGGCACCTGACATAACTTCTCAGTCTGCCCTGTGCAAATGGGACCCTATTGTCTGTTTGCCTGGGGTTGCATATCAATTGTCCATCCTTATGCTGGGCACCACCCAGGTGCTAAGTGATTATCTGCCCCTTCCAAATTCCTCCAAACCGCAGGTCATTACCCACCAGTTAACGACTACTTAGCAGTACTTTTCATTTAGCTAGAATTCACTTAGAAAGAACGAAACACAGTAATTCTAAACAACTGATCCTTTAAAAATAATTTTTAATCCATTAAACCTATTGGCAGTCCTGCTTCAAATTCTATTCCTGTGGTTATTTTGAATAATGTAAAGAGTTAATATTTAGATCTCACCTGACAGCAGAAAATGGACTGTTTTGTCTGTTTTTTATATTTTTTAGTGGTAAAAAGTTACTGACTGTGTCTCATCATGACAAAGGGCCATCTGGCTGCTTTAGAGTGAAGGCTTCCAAGAAAATGGGGACAGTACCGGATTTCTAGGCTATTCTGCAGAGACTGGAATAGCACAGCACAGGCCGTGAGTAGTCGTGGTCAGTATGTGATTTTTAGAAAATTAAAGGTAGGAATCAAAAGGGATTTTGTAGCATTACTCACAAATGGACAATGGAGACTCTTCGGTGACCTGCTTCAGCCTATATGATCCGGGTCCTGTATTTCTTGGTGTTAAGGACAGGTGGTCTCCGTTAGTGCTCCACACTGACTGACATCTGTGTCACCCTGGGACCCTTAAGAATGGGACGATCATGGGCCTCCTGGAAAACTACTCAGTTCATTTTTTCAGGATCTTGTCTGAGAGTTGAGGAGAGAAAGAAAGGACATTGAAATAGTTGAGGAGCAAGAGCCTTCCCCAGATGTTGGGGAAAGGGAAGCCAGTTCCCGGATGAGGAATTGTTCAATGAACTCAGAGTACCTGACCACAGCCTGCATTAACCAAAGGCTCACCAAAATGATAATGGACAACCAGCAGGTGCAGCTTCAAGAGTCCTGGGCTTTTACCCTCATCATCTACAACAGTTCCTTTCCCTCTGAACACAGTTCCTTCCCTCTCGCCTCGAGAATGCTTTCAGAGGAAGAGGTTGCCTAGAAGGTGTACAATCCCACATGCTGTCAAAGAGAAGAAGCTGGGGTCCCTTCTGGTGGGTGGTAGGTAAGAATTACTAATCCAATCTGCTTGAGTTAACTCAAAACAAGGATTAGCGCAGAGTTCCAGAGTACGTTAATCTCCCTTTATGGGAGTAGACTTCGGCACTGCCACCAAGCCCACGGGTTATAGTTCTTGGGAACAATGAGCCAATTAAACTTGAGAGGGAAAAAGAATCTCGCCCAAGTTTACTGATTGTTACCTAATACTTTGAGTTGCTTTGACTCTTGATGATTTGGCTTTGTGTCTCAGACACAGGAAATAAAACATTTCTTATTCATTAGAACGCTCCTAAGTATAGTGTGCCTCCTAAGTAAATACATACTGTTGCATGCTGGTTATTTTTCATCTCCTGTCTTATTAAAGAGGCTGTTTGGAATAGCTTTTATATACAGCTGATAGTGCTTTGCCAAATATGTCCATCAATATTAACATACCCCTTTTTTTTCCCAAAACACATATTTAAAGCTTACATGAGTTATGAGTGGAACAAATTGCTGGCTATTTAGATTCAATCCACTTGGTAAAGACTTTCAAATGAAAAATAGATACTTTTTAAAGGGTACATACTACATCTCAAGAAATGATGGAAAAAACATTTCCTTTCTTTCTACCAATTTGACACGGTTGCTCTACGGAAAAGTTTTATACCCATAATTGTTGACTTAATTTCAAGATTTGGGTATCTGAATTATTTTTAAATTGTTCTTATTTGCTTTTTGATTTGCATAGACAGTGGTTGGCCTATTTTACTGATGTCCTGAATCAGGAGTAGAAGTCGTAGAATATTAATTGCTTTGATCATTAGGAGCCGGGTATTTGTGTGAAAATGCCGTTGACTAAATGACTATTAACATGACGACTTACTGGACACAGAGGAAGTCTCATGTACCTTTCCTTATGGAAGTGATTTTAGTCAGTCTTAAGGTTCAGAGTTATTTGGTGCTTTGCACAGCATAAAACTGTCAGGAAAAGACTTGTGTAACATTTCCAGAGACTTGGGTTAGGGTATGTGTCCCAACTTTTCCTTTTAAGGGAAGTTTAATGATAAAACAGTCATTTTAACTAATCAAGTTTGCAACTAAACAAATACATTTTTATATTCTGTACCTTCCAAAGAGATACCTTCATTTCCCACTGAAATTAGGGTTGTCAGAATCATTTTAGAACAGCTAAACTTATTTATACTAGTTAAGTAATGACTTGATCTTTTTACCTGTGTTTCATTTCCTAGTGCAAGGTTTTTTGTTTGTTTCTCAGCACCAGAAAATTTAACAAATGATAGCTGGAAAAGGCACTAAATATGATTTTTTAAAAATCTTGGTCAGATTTTAAAAATCTTCCAGTCAGTGCCCATGTGTAAACTCCACCTACCTCAGTGGCAGCCAAGTCACCATGGCAGGCTGTGGGAACCCATTTCAGGAAGTTGATATTTGCTGCGCAGATGGCCCAACAATGTTCTCAAAGAAGTGGAAACTGTTTCCGTTTTAAGTTTGTGAAACTTGGTGTGTGTACGTGTATGTGTGAATTTTTCAATTTTATTTGTAGTATCAATATGCAAATTTATTTATTATAAGTTGAATCCCATTGAAATGAAAATGAAAAGGCAATACTGTTCCTTTAATATGGTTCACTAACCTTGTTCACACTGAGTTACTGATGCTCAGTAGGAGCTGGCCAACACCAGTTCTACTCAACCCTTGATGATTATGGAGGATTTAATTATAATTGAAAATGAAAAAAAAACTCACTAAAATCTAATCCAAAAATCAATTTTGCATAGAATTTAATAACAGATGGAAGCTTAAAGTTCTGTAAGTATCAAATGAAAAACACTAACACGAAGACCTAAGACTTCAGTCTCCAGAGTCAGTCTCACTACCTGTGTGGATGCATCCTGACCTCTCCTCTTTCATCAACTTCATGACAAAGGAATTGGCCTCATGCTGAGGCATGGTAAATACATTATGAAATAAAAGCGGACGTCATAAACAATACCGGCCGTGTGAAACAAAGGCGAACCAGAGGCTGTGGACAATTTCTCCCTCTCTTGTATGTAGGCAAAGGGTTCAGCAACCCTAGTTGCTAGTTTTTGCATTCTTCCTTTGAGCTCACTGTGGAGTGGACTTCAGTGATGGCCCATGAAGCTAGAAAAGCTTAAAAATGTTTTCTCTTCTGCTGAGTTTTCCTGACTTGCGTGTACATCAGCAGAAGAGCCACTGAAGGGAGGAAGGGAAGAAGAGGAGATGCCTGCGTTTCCTGTTCATCTGCCATGCTTGCGGGAGGGCTCAGGAGTGTGGTCCTCTTCTGTTTCAAACATAATAAAAACCTCTTCTAGAGAGCAATAAAAAGCTAGCAAATGCTATTTTTGCTTTCCTGATACAAGAATCCAAGCACTTTAGAGAGATGACTTCTTGGTTGTTGTTGTTTTGTTTTGTTTTAACATAGACTGTGATAAAATACGGAGGTTTATATGGTGTCTATGCACTTTAAAGAAAAAAGCCCTGACTCCGATAGTCAGGGTGGATGTGAGGCTATAGATGTATTCCACATACGGAAACATGTTTTTCCAATAAAAAGCAGGGTTTTGCTATTCATAGCAATTAACGGCTCCCCAGCTAGAACCCTTAACTTGGTTCTTCTCTTGCAAATAAATAAATACCTCAGCCCTTAGAGTCCTGGCTGCCCCAGAAAAGCCCATGGTGGCTGAGCCTGGCCATCAGTCTCACACAAGCCAGTAACACCAGTGATAATGTGACTGAATTACAGTCCCATGCTGAAGGGAGCAGCGGACCTTTGCTTGCAAACCCGACCTTTTTAATTTAGACAAAAGGCTTGAAAAAAATAAAAGTAGTTCTTAAATACAGTTTAATCAATCAGGCGAGAGAAGCCTAATGAAGCCGCCAGACAGATCTGTGGCCAGACTGTCACTCCAGCCATCATGCCGCAGGAAGACACAAACTCCAGAGAAATTTCCTGGCTTAGGGACGGCTGTACTTTTGACAATCTGACAAATCATTTCGCTGCCAGGGTTGTGCTTCTGAAGGCCTGGTATGTAAAAATTTAGTTTTCTGGTGTGAAAACGAGCCACCACTCCCACAAATGGTCTCAATCAAACCCCAAACTGGTAAATTTGCCTTCACCTTTTCTCCTTGTATTTTATCTGACGTAGGAAAACTGGCCTTTTCACTCAGACTTTCCTAAGAGGTTTTTGTTGTTGTTGTTGGTGGTGGTGGTGGTTTTTTGTTGTTGTTGTTTTGTTTTGTTTTCCCCCAATAGCTTTCTTTTCCAGATGGAGGACCATTCACCCACACACCAGTGTGACAATGCCTATCAGGTATTAAATGCTGTCTATACAATTTATATGTCTACCACATTGTGCCTTTTGTCTTCAGAGAAAATCTGAGTAGAAATTTTAGAAACTCCACTTCTGTGAAATGTTGAAATGCTGGAGTCTGGGTGAGCTTGTGTGCCAGCATCCTGACTTAGCCCCATTGGACACACCAAATCCTAATTCCCTTCTGATACAAGTGATCATTGACTGTTTAGTTCAAGACTTTCAGTTGAACTTGATTCTTCAAGAAATTTAAACATATTTATCATTTTTCAATATTTTTAAAAACTGAAAAATTTAAAAAGGAGAATTAGTACTGCCCTGGGGGAGAGCCAGGGGCTGGCCCTCTTCCTCTCTTGTCTTTCTTTTTCCTTCCTTCCTCCCTCCCTCCCTTCCTTTTCTCCTTCCTTCTGTCCATTTTTCCTTTCTCTGCCCATATTTATTTGCTGAAAATGGCCTGCAGTTGGGCATAAACAATAATATCCACTTTGCTTCCTCTTATTAATCCAGGGATGCCCGGTCTAATCTCCCACTCATTTCATGCCTGAAGCACAAATGTATTGCTTTGTTTTACGACATGTTTCCTTCCATCTGTTGGAAGCCGGGTAAGTCAATATTTATCACATTTATAGATTCTGCATCCCAAGCGAGCCCAGCACAACAGGGAAACAGGCCCATCATTCTTTCTTCCCGATTTTGAAGTTTAAAAATCTTATCTCTGTGATGTTAATTTCACCATTTTCTGCTAAAATACTGAAGTCTGTCTCATGTTTAAGTAAATCATGAAAACACTACGTTTTTCAAAGTTTTTCATTCCCCAACCCTCTGTAATTACCGTGTCGTGATTACCATTTCCCTTTCACTGCGGCTCTCTGTGCAAGCCCCGGGAAAGAGTTACTAAAAATTAAATTTCATGCTTGCGTGTGTTTCTGTGATCTGCTGCGTGTATGATCTCGGAGTGCAAACTTCTCTCAAAATAAATGGATTACCCTTTTACTACACTGTCTGAAGTCTCCTCTACTGATAGCACGGCTTCCCTGTGATCTCCAACCCACCACAATCAGAAAGACAAGCGTTGAAATGCGAGCCTCACGGTGGCGCCCTCTGCCTTCGCCGGCCCCTTCTGCAGCATCGAGCTGCAGGGCGTTCTCAGTACCTCCTGGACCTCTCTCCCTGCAAAGGCCCCCAGGAATCCTAACTCCCACCAGTGGAGCCCACTTCAGGAAACGCTGGCCCAAAAACCAGAATCTTGAGTTCTCAATGCCTTAAGATGGACAATTTTTGCTGGGAAAAAAAGTTTCGTCCTCATTCCTGCTAGAAGACTGATTGAGTGACTCTGTTATTAAAACGAATTTCATATATCTTACATATCTTAAAACTGCGAAAAATCTTGAAAGTTTCCATGGACACACACCCATGGAAAACCTGTTGGAGTAGCAGGTTTTCCAAAAGCAAGCGCATGGTTTGTGGGCAGATAGCCTCTGACCTTTACTAAAGTGTTCTGTAAATACCATCATTGCTTAGTTTGTGAAAAACTAATGTGTTCCCACTAACAAAACTGTCTCAGGGTGGCTGCTCTCTAGAATAATGCTTGTTTTCCTACTGGGCTTTCTATTGCTTGATTTTTTTTTTAAAGGCAATTAAATTTGTCTAAGGGATTGTACTTTGAGGCTATCCAAGGAATTTTAATCAAGAATCAAGGAGAGAGCCAGTTTTTGAGTAGGTGTTGGAGCAGGGACAAAGTAGCAGACCTCAAAAATATTAATCAGGCACATTTTCTACTATTACCTTCTGACTAGAGGCAGACTGTTTTCTTTCTAAAAAAAAAAAATCTTGAAGTAAATGTTATAAATAAACAATTTGTCCTGGAATACCAGCTCCTCTATGCACAAGGTGACACTCATACAACAGCAAAGTTGTAATTGCTATTAACACAACAATGGCATTGCTTCTCTCCCCAGAGCACCCAACCACCAGGGATGTTCCTTTAAAGGGAGCACCAGGGCCGGGCGGTGGTGGCGCACGCCTTTAATCCCAGCACTCGGGAGGCAGAGCCAGGCGGATCTCTGTGAGTTCGAGGCCAGCCTGGACTACCAAGTGAGTTCCAGGAAAGGCGCAAAGCTACACAAAGAAACCCTGTCTCGAAAAACCAAAAAAAAAAATAAAAATAAAGGGAGCACCAGAACCTGTCTACATGGCAAATTCCAGGTCAGCCAAGGCTGCATAGGAAGAATGTCTCAAAACAAAACCAGGAGAGAAAGAAAAAGGGAGAAGCTCTGGAGAGGTGGCTCAGTGGTTAAGAGCACTGGCTGCTCTTGCAAAGGACCTGGGTTCAACTCCCAGCACCCGCATGGCATTTGCAACCATCCATGACTAGTTCCAGGGTATCCAACTCCCTCTTCTGAGTTCTATGGGGCTCCTGCACGTATGTGGTGCACAGTCATACATGAAGGGATGACATCCATGTGCCAAACACACATAAATGTTTCTAATTAAAAAAAAAATTAAGTAGAAGAAACACCAGAATAAATGATGCCTTTAAGAAGACAAATTCTTTAAAAAGAGAGACTTAAAAGTTAATAAATTGATGGTGTTGAAACTAAGTTTATAATGCTGGTGTTGCCATAACACGGCACAGCTCACTTGTTCCTGTAACAGAGCAAAGAAACCAGCCAATTGGCAGCAAGGGAAATCAGCCTGTGAAGCCCAAAGGTCCTAGGTATCAACACTGTGTTCTTAGGATTCTAAAAAGCTCCCACTCACAGGTGAGGCTGGCCCAGCTGTCTCTCTTTGCACCAACTCACACACCTAGAAAACAAATATGTACAGCTAGTCATGTGCCACCGTGAAAATGCACCGAGAAACCAACAGAAAGAAATACAATAAACATGTCCTGCAAGAAGTAGACGTACAGCTCCGGGTCCTCAACAGTGCAGCTTTGTTATAACAACCACAACACGGACAGGTAACACACAGAACCATGTCAACACATGGGCCAGCAGGAGCCACCAGTCAAACACCCCGCTTTGCTAAGCTTGCCTCTCCAGCCTGAGGAGACATCGGCTGCACTAGACAGTAGCCTTGTTCATCCCAGTAGTTCATAGAGCTAAAGCAATCTTCGCTCATGAACTGATGCTCACTTTGTTATTAATTTCAGTCAAGAGCTATTTTGGTCAATCTGATGATACGTTGTATGTTTCAGAAGACTTCCAACAGCCTAAATATTAAATAAATAAATAAATAAATAAATAAATAAATAAATAAATGCCTAAATATTAGGAAAATGTATATTTTTCTAAGAGGCTTAGTATGTCGCATATGTTAAGAGCTAGGTCATTTTATGTCACTGTATTTTATGTAATCATTGTTTGGTAGGCTTAAAATATTGCACTAAGAAAATATGTTTAGAGTTTGATATAAGGTATGTAGGGTATGATGGTTGCACACCTGTTATCCCAGCCTTCAGGAGGCTGAGGCAGGAGGATTGCTGTGAGTTAAAGGCCAGCCTGGGCTGGAGGGTATTTGAGGAAAGTCAGGGCTACATGGTGAGACACTGTCTCACAAAACCAAATATACGTGTGTTTGTACAAATCATAAACCATGCCTTTAATTTCAGTCATCAATTTAAAAAAAGAAAGAAAAATGAAGACTTTAGGACTTTAGTTTGTTAGTCGGAACGAGGCAGCTGGCTGGGTTGTGTTTTCTCTTCTCCAGCCCCTTAGTACCTGAGTCCGGCCCTGACACACAGCAAGTGCTCAATACACATTGGCTGAGTGAATGGCTGGCTGTGTGGGGGTAGCATTAAGTTGATAAAAAGGTATTCACTTGAGTCTTGTCAGCTGTGTGAAAACTGAGTGCGGTTCTCACGGGTTAATCAGACTGATTTTGATGTTTGCCTTTCTTCACGTGTTGACTGCACCTGGCCTTGTTCATTCTGTGTGTCTTGGAAAGCTTCTCCTTCCCAAAGGGCTGTGCCTGAGACGTCCTCTTGAGGGAAGCTATTGGTGGTCGATCGATCATAAGGAGCCTGTGAGTTCATAGATACAATCTTGCTTTTAGGCCTTCCTCCTTATAAACTTATTTTTTTTTTCCTGGAAGCAGGAAGTGTGTTTTCCTCTGCTATCTACAGAATTAAAGTGCAATGTGTGTGTGCACCAGGTGAGTGTGACACACCATTTAGCCTGAGCTGGACCTGAAGTTTGTTAGAGGAAGTATCTTCTAGAATTCTAGGGAAGAATGAAGGATAAGGTTCTCTTGGAACATCATTCTTTTATGAAATCTCAATTTCAGATATGTCCAGTCTCTCTCTCTCTCTCTCTCTCTCTCTCTCCTCTCTCTCTCTCTCTCTCTCTCTCCTCTTTCTTCTTTTTCTTTCTTTCTTCCTGTCTTTTTTTTTGTTCCTTTGTTTCTCTCTCTCTTTTTTCTGTGAAATAGAAAAGGATATAGACTGGGAGTTAAGGTATTATTGGAATAATGATCCAAATATTTAAAGATATAGCCCAGAAAGAAGAAAAAGACTACATCAACAAGCACTTTTAAGTCTGACTGTATCCCGACTTGTATGGGAATTGGAAACCAAGGAACACAGGGGTTCTGACCTAGAAGACTCACAGTGACTCAAGAGAGGGAAGCCTGTGTACATCTGCAAGCACACACTCTCTCGCACACACAACCACAATTAATAAGGCAGCGATTAAAAACAACACATGAATAATAATAATTGCAAGATGGTGAGATTAAAAGCTTACACAGAAATCCACAAGTACAGCACCTCCCAAGAGTGGGATTCATCAGGAGAAGCCCTCTGAAGTAGTGGGATTTGAGCAGAGCCCATTAAGTGCAGTATTTTATGTTGCCTTTCATTCAACAAACATTGATTTAAGTGCCTGTGTGGGCTGGGTCCCGGCTGAGCCACAGCCTGAGGTGTCAAGATGAACAAAACAAGGTCATATTCCTGTCTTTATTCTTTTAAAAATATTTTTTCTTTACTTTCCTTTTTTTCCTTCCTTTCTGCAAGTGTGTGTGGCATGCATGGCATTCAGATGTGTATGGGTGCATGTATGTATTGCACATAGGTGTGTATATGAATGTAGATGCCTGAAGTTGACATCAGGTGTCTTCTTCCATTGAGCTCCATTCTATTTAGTAAAGTCAGGTCTCTTGCTGAATCCAGAGTTTGCCATTTTAAGTAGTCTGGCTAGTCCGGGTGCCCTAAGGGTTTATCCAGGTACTGGCAAGTTTATCCTGCCCCAAACCAGGTACTGGGACTACTGGCAGTTTCCTTGTCTGCTTGGTTGGCATTTACATGGATGCTGAGAATCCAAACTCCACTCCTCACCCTTGTGAGGCAAGTACTTTATTTACTAAGCCGTCTCTCCAATGTTGTGTTCCTTCTGATGCCGGAAGATACTGTCCTCTGAAGTACATGGAACTCGTGGTCAAGCACTTCGAGATCCAGCGACCATTGGATCCAGAGACCATAAGAGCAAGGACAGTAAGAAAGAGCCAAAGCTAATGTGGGAAGGCGGTTCACAAACACAAAATTACAGGTTGGCCTGTAACTTCTTTTGTAGCTGGGGACAGCTAGGAACTTCTGATCCTCCTGCCTCCACCTCCCAAGTGCTGAAATTTGCAGGAGTGTACAACTAAACCAGGCTGACACACGTTCTGAACCAGAAGGGACAGCCCTAAGACTTCTCTCAGCACATGTGGGCTTTCAGCAGCTAGTAGCTCGTCCTATTCTGTTAAAACAAACAAACAAACAAACAAATAAACAAACAAAAAAAACCCTAGGCTTTTGACTTAGTATTTTACTTCCAAATAGTAACTCTGACCTTTGCAGTTTCTGGGATGCAGATGTAAATGTTCACTTGAAATTGTCATGAATGTTTTCGTTTTCTTTCTTTTCATTCATTCATTTTTAAGACAGGGTCTCACTAGGTAGCACTGGCTGTCCTGGAACTCTCTATATAGATCAGGCTGGCCTCGAACTCAGAGATCCACCTGCCTCTGCCTCAGGATCGCTGGGATCAAAGGCATGTGCCACCACGCCCATCTGTCACGGATATTTTCAATCTCTAGTTCTTATGGTATTGCTTTAAGTTGCTTTCAAATATTTCTAAGATTCTCAATTTGTTTTCATAGATTCTGGTTGCTGTTTCCTTTTTCCAACTGCCACATTTCAAGAACAAAAGATGACTGACATCAACTAGGAAACCGTCCCCTCCCCAGCACGTACAAATTCCTGTGTTTCTAGCTGCCGCCCCGTCACTGCGCACCCTCTGTGTGTATCTTCTGATTCTGCTTCTCCAGTTACAACATAGTTGTTGCACTCTAACCTTTCTGGTCCTTTGTGACGGCATCCACATACTGCTGTCTCTCAAAGGTCTTTGTCTAGCTCAGCTGTGACACCTGCAGTGGAAGTTCAAACCTTACATGATTGTCCTCCCCAACATGCTTCCTCCTCCCTCCTCCCCCTCCTCCTCCTCCCTCCTCCCCCTCCTCCTCTCCTCCTCCCCCTCCTCCTTCCTCCTCCCTCTTCTTTCGCCTCCCTCCTTCCCCCTCCTTCTTCTCCCCCTCCTCCTTCCCCTCCTCCTCCTCCCTCCCCCTCCTCCCGCCTTTTGCGGTAGCATGGCTTCCCAACCCACCATGTGTGAGCACACTTTCCTGTTCTTCTTCCTGCTTCCCTATCGTTCATTCTGTTGTTTCCTTTGTAGATTCTCTTCTGCCCTTCACTCCCTCACCGTGGGTTGGCCAGACTTCTGTCCTGTCTTCTGTCTTGTTATTCCACATGGTCCCTTCATGGTAAGCCCTCTCAAATGTGTATCTCCAGCCTAGATCCTCAGCTCAATGTGTCCCACACTGTGTCCACACCATTGCCCTGTGTCATCACCCCCTCCTCACACCTGCACTTGCTCCTTCTGCATGTGGATGGAACATAGCCACCCTGCGAGTCCACACAGAAATCTGTGAGCTGCTTTTGTGCCCTTCCTCACTCCCCACACTTGGTCATTCCTGGAGAGGGGACCTGCTAATGTCTCTGGAGTGAAGGGCCTTTTGCCAACTCATTTGCTGTACTTCAGGCCCTCATCAGTTCTTTAGATTTCCAATGCACCATCCTGGCAAATATTCATAATAACCCTGTTTCCCAGAAGGAAAAAAACAGATGCTTAGTTATAGATGGATGACACTTGTTGATGCCAGGATTTGAAAGTAGGAAGTTCAGCTCCAGGACTCTCCCCAACACCTCAGTACTGGGTATTGAAGCCAGCGCCTTGTGCATGCTAGGAGACAGCTGTACCCTGAGCTACATCCTTAGTTTTCATTTGACTTTTGATTCAGGGGTACTGGGCTGCGTGGTTTTATGTCAATTTGACATAAGCTAATGCCATCTGAGAGGAGCGAATCTCAATTAAGAAAATACCTTCATAAGACCAAGCTGTACGAAAACCTGTGGAGCATTTTCTCAATTAGTAACTAATGTGGAGGGCCCAGCCCATTGTGGGTGGTTTCATCCCAAGGCAGGTGGACCTGGGCTCTATAAGAAAGTGGGCTGAGCAATCCAGGGGGAGCAAGCCAGTGAGCAACACTCCTCCATGGCCTCTGCATCAGCTCCTGCCTCCAGGTTCCTGTCCTGTTTGAGTTCCTGTCCTGACTTCCTTTGATAATGAACTGTGATGTGGAAGCATAAGCCAAATAAACCCTTTCCTCCCTAAGTTAACTCTGGTCATGGTGTTTCATCACAGCAATAGAAACCCTGATTAAGACAGACAGGGTCTAACTAAGTTACCCAGGCTTGCCTTGAACCTGCCATCTTCCTGCCTCAGCCTCGCAAGAGACTAGGATTATAGGCCTGCCCTGGAAGCCCCAGTTTAGGATCCTCACGCTTAAGCACAAATTCTATTGCTTATGCGCTTTGGAAGAAGAAAGTGGACAACTAGCTGGTATACTCTTTTTCTTTGCTGTTCAAGAGTATGGTCCGAAGACACCACGCCACCTGTGGCCCTGCTGGGAACGCTGACTCTCAAGGCCACCCAGGCCTACCCACCACAATTTGCATTTCACTGTGAGTCCAGGGGATCCTTGTGTCCTGCTGCTGATGGGAGGTGTAAGTGTGTATGATCAAAGTGTTTGCCTTCCTGCCCCCATTCTTTCCTTGAATAGCTTTATCTGTGGTTCACAGTGAGACTTTTTCATGGAAGACAGAAGCACTTCTAACTAATAGCAACATATCTTCCCAACCCAGATCAAGAAAGCTTTAGGGATACATGAGAAGTGGGGAGCTGGGGGTCACAGCTGTGTGACCTGAAGAATATCTGTTCCCTCTAGGGTGCCTGGCCACGGACTACTGTGTCTTCCATCAGTGATAACAGGAAAATACAAATAAAGACACTTCTAAAGGGATGGGTAGCCTAGAGGGACACAGTCCCTCTTCAGTTTTATGACACCATTTGCCAGCTGAGCCATACTCATTTACAGTCATACAAAACAGAGGTGGAGTGTAACTAAGGCTTGGGTGCCTGGTGCTCTGGCAAAAGATGTGAGCACAAAACCCAAGAATCCCTAGGTCTCATGGCCTGCCTCTCGCAATGGGACCACACACGTGAAATCATCTTTTGTGCTGATTATTGAGTTCCCCTTTACAAAGATTGTGTCCTGGGAACCCTTGTCTCCAGCTCTGAGGCCATGCATGTAGAGGGAACTGTGAATGCCACCTCATCTGCATGTGCAGGGGGAAGATTTGCTTTCTGCATTTGCACTGATACACATCTACAGTCTGTAGGACTCTTCTTTGAAGCACTGTATCCAAAGACACTATTGTCTTACAGCTTATATAAGAAAATCCTTCCCTTGCCTTTACAATTAACACTGAAATGCTAAGTGGTAATATTGATGAGTTTGGGGAGGGAAGCAGAAGTCTGGAGAAAATGTGAATGAATGAATCTCTCTCTCTCTCTCTCTCTCTCTCTCTCTCTCTCTCTCTCTCTCTCTCTCTCTCTCCCTCTCCCTCTCTTTCTCCCTCTCTCTCCCTCTCTCAAGGCAGGCTTAGTGAAATCTGTACCAGTGAATCCAATCCCATTAAAATGAGTTGTAAAAAAGTGAAGTTTGCATGCTGTTAAGCTGCTTCTACATGGCAGCAGCCTCTCTGCATGCAGCATGTATGCGTGGGATGTTTCCGTTCCAAATCGAATCTGTGCAAAGATGGTCCTCAGATCTGTCGTCTTCTCTTAGGGGTCTTCCAAGAGAAACACCCGCCAACTCAATCTCTCCCTGACGAGGAGACACTGGAGCCTTGGGATG